AACCTCCGCCTCCCAGGTTCAAGTGATTCTCTTGCCTCAACCTCCTGAGTAGCTGGGATTACAGCTGCCTGCCACCACACCCGGCTAATCTTTGCATTTTAATTTATTTTATTTATTTATTTGAGACAGAGTCTTGCTCTGTCGCCTAAGCTGTAGTGCAATGGCGTGATCTCGGCTCATTGCAACCTCCACCTCCCAGGTTCAAGCAATTCTCCCGCCTCAGCCTCCCGAGTAGCTGGGACTACAGGGGTGCGCCACTACGCCCCATTAACTTTTGTATTTTTAGTAAGATGGGGTTTTGCCATGTTGGTCTGGCTGGTCCCCAACTCCTGACCTCAGGTAACGCGCCCACTTTGGCCTCCCAAAATGCTGGGATTACAGCCATGAGCCACCACGCCCGGCCTAGTTTTTGTATTTTTAGTAGAGACAGGATTTCGCCATGTTGGACAGGCTGGTCTCCAACTCCTGACCACAAGGGATCTGCCGCCTCGACCTTCCAAAGTGCTGGGATCACACAGTGGGTGGGAGCCACCGTGCCGAGCCTAATTTATATCATTATTGGTGGTTTTAGCAATTAATCATTTCAAATAATTAGATATTAATAATAAAACCAGTGACTAGCACATTGCAGTACATGGGCCTCTGGCTCATGACCTATTTTTGTAAAAGCTTTTAAACTAAAAATCTATTTTTTTTATATTTTTAAAACACTGTAAAAAAAAAAAAAAGAATACGTGAAAAAGACCTTATGTGGCTCACAAAGCCTAAAATATTTATTTGCACAAAAAAAAAATCTGCTGACTCTTGATCCAACTTGAAATTTAAACTATGATAAAAATTTTGACCTTAAAACAACTCTGAATGGTAAGCAAGGCAAGGACATCATCACACTTTACAAATGGAAAACATAACCTGGAAGGTTAAAGTGCGCATTTGACCATCACAGGCATTTGACTGATGATTTGGACGCAAGTTCTCTTTCTACTTCATTATGCTGACAGCAATTTATGTAGGTTAGCCTATCTGAATTTATTTAATGCTCAATGAAAGTGTGTGAACTGATAACATCCTCAAAGACCACACAGGCTAATAGTTTTCAATTTTTTTTCTCCTAGGACTGAAGAATCCTACGAAAACAAAGAAAATCTGACAGAAATTCCCAGTGTGTAAAAAAGATGAAAGTATGCTAGCCAGGCTGAAGCTGGGAAGGAGGACTCCTGGAGTCAGACCAGCTCCTTACTTCTATCCTAGAGGTGACAGAAGAATGCTACTCTATAGAACTCTAGGGAACTAGGTTATGAAAGCAACTAGTTTAGATTGATCTGTTTATTTACCCTCACCACTCCCCAAAAGAGAGAGAGAGAACTCAAGAGAGATAGTAAATATTATTGTTTAAATTTAAAGTAAAATAGCTTATTGTTGAATTTACAGTGTTCTTACAGACATCTTCGCACCCCAATATACTAGCACGAGTTCAAAAGAATGACAT